ACTCCTGGGTTCTATCCCCAGTTCTGGGAGGGGAGTGGGATTTAGAATGGGGGGTGCTGAGAGCCAGGACTCCTGGGTTCTATCCCCAGCTCTGGGAGGAGAGTGGGATTTAGAATGGGGGCTGCTGAGAGCCAGGACTCCTGGGTTCTATCCCCAGTTCTGCCATTGACTAGCAAAGCGGGGGGTGACTTGGGACCAGCTCTACCACTTTGTGCGGGGAGAGTCCTGTGCATACCAGGCCCCCCCTGCTGGATCCCAGAGCTCTGAGTCGCACCCGGGTCCTGGGAAGGGCTCCAGCCCCTCCCAGCTGCCTGTTCAGGCCTGACCTGCTCTCTAGGTTGCAATGCACAACCGCCCTGGAGCTGGGAGCATGGGCTGAAGGCCAGGCTGGGACTGGGCAGGGCAGGATGGAGCGGAGAGGGGCACCCTGGGAGTTGTAGTTCCCTTCCTGCGTAATGGCAAGGCAGGGGAAGGGAGCGGCTGGCGTGTTGCTTACAGACTGGAAGCAGAGTCCCGGGCCCTGGGAGGCTGGATGGTGCATGGGGGAGCGGGGATGAGCCCAGGGGGGCAGTTGAGTTGTACCATCGATATTGGGCGGACCTGCTGGGAGCAGGGCTAGTGGTTAGAGCTGGGAATCGGGGCTTCTGGGTTCTGTCCCCAGTCCTGGCAGGGAAGTGGGGATGAGTGGTTAGAGGAGGGTGGGCTGGGAGTCAGGACACCTGGGTTCTGTCCCCAGCTCTGGCAGGGAAGTGGGGATGAGTGGTTAGAGCAGGGTGGGCTGGGAGTCAGGACACCTGGGTTCTGTCCCCAGCCCTGGCAGGGGTGTGTGGGGGGGGCTAGGGGGTAGGGCTGGGGGGGGGGGGGGGGGGGGGGGGGGGGGGTCTAGTGGTTAGAGGTGGGGGGGGGGGGGGGGAGAGCTGGGTTGCATGAGCATAGTAGGGGCTGGCTTGTGTGCACTGCTGCCCCCTGCTGGGCAGGGAATACCATCACAGCTCCCCAGGTGGTAGCGTGGGCTGGTGGTTGATGGTTTTCTCTTGCTGAGCTGAGCTCCTGGGGGGCAGTGTCAGGCCAGGTTGCTGTCACGGTAGCAGGCGAACCGCGGTTTCTGCTGGAAGTGACACTGTCTGCTTGGTGAAGGGCCCCCAGAAGGCAGAATCACCCCCCCCCCCCCGGGGTGGTGCTAGGGGCGCGCTGTGCTGCAGAAAGTGGGCCAGGAGGCGCTGTCAGTGCTGACCCCAATGCCCCACTGTGGCACTAGGGGGCGCTGTGTTACAGGGAGCAGGGGCTGGGCTCGGTAGGGGGCGCTGTCCTGTTGAGGTCATTAAAGGTCACTCCATATGGCACTTTTCCAAGAATTGCGGGGGTGATAATTTAGGGAGGATGTGAGAGCTCACTTGGATAACCCCAGGCTGCTGCCTCCCTAAATAACCTTCCCCCTGCCCTGGTGCACTTGAAACTGGGAATCTCCTTCACTTCCTGTCCTAAACTATTGTCTTGCTCTGCGGTGGCTAACCAGCTGCCACACCCCACCCCAGAGGTGGCTGCATGTTGGTTCTGGTGCCTGCATAGCATCAGTGCCATGGTTGAGCTCTCTGATCGCGGGGGGGGTGGAGGGGGGTACTCCAGCAGAGGCGTCCTAACAGCTAAGCCTCCTATCGCACCCCCTTGCCGTACCCCTCCCCACACTAAGCTCCGTTCTCTTTATTCCTCTTTTAAATCAAGCCACGAATGGGAGCACCGCGACACCCACACCCACATCCGCATCGGGGCTCACGGTAAGTAGGCGTGGGGGGGGGCGGATCAGCTGTGTGTGTTGGGGGGGGTTATCCCAGCATGCACTGGGGAGAGAGACTTGAGTGGAACTGGGCCGGAAACTTGGAGATATTGTACAGGGTGTGTGTGTGTGGGGGGGGGTCCAATTTGGGAAGGGGGGGATCTGGGGCAGAGGCCTAGCTCCCCACCCCTGCCTACCACCTTCTCTGGGGAGCCCCTGTCTTTACCTCCCACACTCTTGGTTGGCTCCTGGTATAAACCCCCCCCCCCCACGGCACCTCTCTGCCCCCCATGCCCACGGGGAGCTGGGCATGATTCTGGTTCCGTCTCACTCTTTTCTCCCCCCCCCCCCCCCGGCAGGAGTCGGAGCGGTTGGCGGCCATCATTGTCCCCTCCCTAGTCGGGGGTCTCCTGCTTATTGGACTTGTGATCTTCGGGGCGCTCAAGGTGCGGGAGAGGCGGCAGACGGAGGGCACCTACCGGCCCAGCAACGAGGAGCAGGTGGGTGCTCGGGTGGTGACGAACGCTAACCTCCAACTGCCCCCCGAGGAGCGGCTGATCTGACCCGGGGGGAGGGGGGGGTCACACACACCCCCTCCCCGGACTGGCAGACTCTGTACCGGCTGGACCCTGCGGTTCCAGAGCCAGCTGCACATCTGGAGGGGGGGGGGGGCGGCTCCTTGCTCTCTGCTGGCTGGAAGGAGCCGAGGTCTTCGTCGCTGGATGCATCGGATTTCCACCTGCGCCCTCCTCCTGCAGGCGTGGGAGGGGGGTGCTGCCCAGCCAGGGCCGGCACGGGGTAGCTTGCCTGTGAAACTGCTGGCCATGCTGGTGCGGCGCGACATCGCCCCCGGGTGGCAGAAGCGGCGGGAGCCTCGGCTGCTGCGCTGGGATATTGGCGAAGCGCTCACACCTTGCGCGTGTTTCCACCTGGCTGAACACTTAATCCTTTTCCCCCCTCCGCCCCCGTCTGCGTCTCACACGTGTCCTGTAATCTCCCCTACCTCGGTCTGCGTCTGTCTGTCCTGGGGCCGGCTGCAGGGGCGTCACCAAGCTGGCCTCGGCTTGCATTGCAGGCTGCAGATGGGGAGTGACTCTGCGTTGGCCCCCGGGTTAGTTAATACACATCAGCCCTACTGTAGCCCGAGGTGCAGACGGAAGGTAGGGGTAGAGAGGTTTAAGTCCCTTCACTGTCGTGCCTCAGTTTCCCCATCTATCACTCCCCCCCTCTTCCTGGTGCTCTCCCGGCTACAAAACCAGCAGCCTTCTTGGGTGCATGTGGAAGGTGCCACGTCACTCTCTAGCGGCTGGTGAATGCAGAGGATAATAGCCTCCTGCGGCTGTCAGCTGATGGAGCTGCTCCTTGGGCTGGGCTGGGGTTACTGGACTCAAACCGGGGGGCTGCTGATGGGGTCATTTCTCATGGTGGGGGGAGGGGTGAAATACACTAATCACTCAAAAAGCAACGGGGTGGCCTTTTCTGCTGTCCTGTCTATGGGGAATGTAACCAAACTGCACCCAACTTAACGAGCCAAATCTTTGTCCTCCGGCAGGGCCGTGGTTCATCCCTCCCTTAAACCAAAACTTGCTGGAATCTTCTCCCATGTGCGGCACCCCCCCCCCCCGGAACAGGTGCCGGTGGCCTTTCCCCCAAGCCGCAGTGTCCCACAGCACAACCCTGCCCCATTGCTGCTCCCCCGGCCGGCACCAGGGCTCAGGTTATTTCCCTGCATGGGGCAAAGCAACCAGGTGGCCCCCCCACATTGGCAAGGCTGGAGTAGGAGCAAGCATCCCCCTGCCTCAGGCTTCCAGACCCAGCTGCAGTAGAAGCAGCTTGTGGGGCGATTTCCTCGCCCCATTAGTCACTCGGAGCAGCCGCGGTTCCTGAGCCTCTGGCTTGGTTTGTGGATCTTTAACTCAAAGAGCTTTTCTCCCACCAGTGCCTTGGCCATTTGAGTTACGGGGAACACACACAGGTTTGAAATAGGCCGGCCCATGGCGCTGGCTCTGCCTCTATGCCACCCGTGGGTTGTTGCTCTGACCATCTCAGCCTCTGTTGACTCTAACTTTGATACAGTGGCAGTGAGTTCCCCAGGCTCCCAAGGGAGGAAGATGCGGGGGAGCTGTTTGCCCAGCGGGCCATCCAGCATCAGGGGTTGCTAGGACCCCAGTTCCCCATCCGGCTGCTTGGGTCATCTTTACAGCCCCTGCTTCCTCGCTGTAGGCTGTGTCTTGGCTCTGCCCCCCTGCCTGCCGCCGGCGCCTCTGGGGCATGCCAACCTTGCTCGGTGGCTGGCTGAAAGCTTCCCCTGCTGGTCCAGCCGTCACCTGGTGCTGCGTGTTCTCCGCCTCAGTCACCTCTTCTCTCCTTTCAGTCCTCCCGGGAAGACCCGAAATTAACCGAGCTGTGAGAGCCGGGAGCAAACGTCACCAGAGTTTGGCCCTTGCCCTTTGAAACTGCCGGAGTTGGGCTCTCCCGGCCCCATGCCCGCCCACTGGTCAGTTCCGCCCCCTGCCACGGGGGTCACTCTGCCCAGTTTTGCATGGGCCAGCGGCTGCCTCTTACAACCTCCCTGTTCACCCAGCACTGGGGGGGCTGGTCGCTGATTGGGGTCTGACCCAGGGGGTTTAGGTGCACCTGTTGCTAATCTTACCCCTTCTCTGCACCCAAATATGCAGCAATGTAGTTGAAGCTGTCCCCCGACGCTCGCCTAGAAAGGGAGGCTGGTCCTGCCAGGAAGGCCCTGCCTCAGACCCGCTGGGTGACCTTGGACAAGTCACATCACCTCTCGTGCCTCAGTTTCCCTAGCTGTAGGAAGCCAGTCCTACAGAGCCATCGAGGAGCAGGAGGCAGGGTTACCTGCCCCTCTGGGGGCTGGCATGGCAGCTTTTTAAGCTGGGTTTATACAGTGTTGTGTTTTCCCTCCTCTGTGCAAATGCAACTTTTATTTTTTTGTAAAATAAACTAATTTTGGGATCAATTAAAAAAAAAGGTGGGGGGACCGGGGCCCACGCCCTGTCGCCCTTGCTGATGATGCATTTTTGCAGGGGGCGGGATCCGGTCAGCCAAGGGAGGGGAAGCTGCAGAGGCCCTCGAGCGCGGAGCCCCAAGGCGGGGAATGGGGAGGCAGCAGGAGGCTGGCTCTGGGGAGCGTTCAGCCCCACGGTGGGACGGCCGCTTGAATAGCAACCAGCTGGTGGTTCCACCATAAGCATTTATTCAGAGCCCCCGGCAGGCCGGAGCCAGGGCAGCGTCTTCCCATTGTCCTGAGCCGAGCGGGGCAGTGCAGCTTTTGGGCCTCCTGGAGCAGCTCTGCCCACCGCTCAGCGTGGGCCCCCTGGTGCAGTTCTGCCCATAGCTCAGCCTGGGGGGCCCCTGGTGCAGCAATGTCCGTGGCTCAGCATGGGCCCCCGGGTGCAGCTCTCCACGCCGCCAGCCTTCTAGGACTCAAACCTCTTCTTCAGCTCCGATACCTTGGGCAGGGCCGGGGGCTGGGAGGCTTGGTCCAGCTCCGGCCAGGATGAGCTGGGCAGGTTGGCCCCCGGCCCCAGCGGGGGGACCCCGCCCCTGATGTCAGTTTGCCTACAGGCCTTGGCCTGGAACAGAGCCACAGCTGACTGGACCCTAGGGGAGGAGGGGCTATCCGGTGGGAGGTGGGGCTCTGCCCCAGGGGCGGGGCTATCCTGTTTGGGGAGGGGCTCTGCCTCAGGGGTGGGGCTATCCTGTTTGGGGCGGGGCTCTACCTCAGGGGCGGGGCTATCCTGTTTGGGGCGGGGCTCTACCTCAGGGGCAGGGCTATCCTGTTTGGGGAGGGGCTCTGCTCTGCACACCCCCTGCCCAGACTCTGGCTTTGTAGTGGCTGCTTCAGGGTGGCCTCCTGTCCCCACTTCTTCAGGGGGCCCCAGAGAGCCAGTGGTTGGTGTCAGCTCTGCCCCAGCCCCTCCGCCCCCCAGCTCCTCCTCCCCGAGCTGGAAGGGCTTGTGCCAGGGCACCCTGAGCGTTGCTACCCTCTCAGCTGGCTGGGGAGGGCCCTCCTCATCCTCATTGATCCCACGGTCCCACATCCCGCTCGCCGGGCGCGTGGCCTTGGCGGGCAGCAGCAAAGCATGCTGGGAGTCCCCAGCCTCCTCCTCGGCCAGGGAGGCCTCCTCCGAAGAGGGGGGGGCGAACTCCAGGGACGAGTCGTCCTCCTCGGCCAGCAGCCAGCACTCGTGGTCCCGGGCCTGGCGCCCGCTCAGGTTCTCCTCACTGGGGTTCGTGTGCCTCAGCTGGAAGGGACAAGGAGCCAGGGTTGGTGTAGCAAGGGGCAGGGAGAGAGATCTAGGCTGGAGAGGGAGGGGCTAGAGAAGAGGGGCGGAGTTAGGGGCGGGGCTAGGAGAGGAAAAGTTGGGGACGCGGTGGAATCAGGCAGCAGGGTCAGACAGGGATGGGGCAGAATCAGGAGGGAGAGGGGGGCCAAGAGAAAGACGTGGGTGGAGAGAGGTGGGGTGGCATGCAGGTGCACAGGGACGTGTCTATGGGGGAGGGGCAGCCCAGGGAGATGCACAGAGAGATGCCTGTGGGGGAGGGGCGGCACAGGGCGGTGCCCGGGGCGACACAGGGAGGTGCACAGGGGAGGGGCAGCGCCCGGGGCGACACAGGGGGGGGGGGCGGGGAGCTCACCCTGGTGTAGCAGCTGCCCTCCTCCAGGTTGCAGAAGTCCAGGCTGCGGGTCCCGTAGAGCAGCCCCCGTCCACTGGGCGCCGCCAGGCTCAGCGTCTCGAAGATCTCGCCCAGCAGGTCGATCTCGCCCGTCTCCAGGAAGCTCTTGTCCATCTCCCCCCCATCAGGGATGGCATCGGGGCCTGGGGGAGCCTTGTGGCCTTCTGCCGGGGCATCCCTGAGACACATGGGGGAAGGGGGGGCTGGGCATTCATGTTACAGCCATGTGTGGAAACTGACATACAGAAAACATGGCAACAAGCTCGTGCACGAACATGACATCACATGGGGCAACACGCATGTCAACCGCCATGGGAACACAGCGTCACGTCACACTCTCAGCCTGTGCCAGTACGCATGGAAATGAACACGTGGAATAGGCATGTCAGCCGTCACACGTGGCCCAAGTGCCAACACACAGGCCCACCCACACACGCAACACACATGCTCATGTATTGAAGCTGGCCACCCACGCGGCCGTCTGCCTCAAAAGCCCCACGGAAAGTGGCAGGTGTGAAGCTGACCGCATGTGCCAGCACGCGTGTAAACACGCATGCCCTGCAGCCCACACCCCAGGCCATCTCTGTGCTCCCCCCAATATCTGCACTCCTCCCCAGCCAGAGTCTCCCCCCACCCCCCGTTACCTCTGGGCCTCCAGCTCCATCCCGCTGCAGCGTTTATTGGGTCGCAGGGGTCGGGACTGCAAGGAAACATGGGTCAAAGCGGTCGATCCCCCTGCTCACCCCTGGGCAGTGCAACACCAAGCCCCTCCAGCATGAGGGGGTTGCTGGGGCCAGGACCTCCCTGCCCCCCAGGCCTTTCCCTGCCCACCGCTCCCTGATCTGTGCCAGCCTCCTCCCATGCTGGGCTAGGGTCGTTATCCAGGGCCACGGGTGAAGGAGGTGGGGAGGAAAGGCCCACAGCCAGGCAGAGCTCACCTTGCGCCCCCCCCCCCCCCCCGATGCTACTCAGATGAGTAAGGGCTATCTGGGCGGGGGGAGCGATTCACTTCCCAAACTACCTGCTACGGGTTCCAGATGTTTCACATCTGCATGAGGATTACCCGCATGCTGCCGTTATTCCCACCAGATGTTCCACATCTGGGGAGCTGGACTATTTGTGCATGTTACCCGTGCCGGAGGTTCCACATCCAGGTGAGGATTATCTGCATACCCCCATTATTCCCTCCAGATGTGTCACATCTGCATTAACTGCATACCCTCTTTATTCCCTTCCAGATGTTCCACATCTGCATTAATTGCATACTCCCATTATTCCCTCCAGATGTACCACATCTGCATTAACTGCGTACCCTGTTTATTCCCTTCCAGATGCCTCACATTTGCATGAGGATTACCCGCATGCCGTTATTCCCACCAGATGTTGCACATCTGCACCGGGAATTACCCACACCCCACCATTATTTCCTTCCCGACGTTCCACATCTGGGGGACGACTATCTGTGCGTCCCCACCCCCGTCCAGATGCCCCCCCCCCAGCCCCACCCCCTACTGAGGTTTCGCAGTCTCTGACCTTCCCGAAGTGCTGGGTGATGGGCAGCCGGCTTTGCAGGCACTCGGACTGGGTGCTCCGGGGCAGGATGGGGCCTGAGAGCTGGTCGCACTTCAGGGAGCCGCCTCGCTGCAGGGCTGAAGCCTGGCCCAAGTCCTGGAGGGGGGAACGAGGGCCGGGCAGGAGGACGGTGAGCAGACTCCCAGGCAAGGCTCATAGACTTATAGACTTTAAGGTCAGAAGGGACCATTATGATCTTCTAGGCTGACCTCCTGCACAACGCAGGCCACAGAAACTCACCCACCCATTCTTGTAACAAACCCCTGACCTATGTCTGAGCTACTGAAGTCCTCAACTTGTGGTTTAAAGCCTTCAAAGTGGAGAGAATCCTCCAGCAAGTGATCAGTGCCCCACGCTGCAGAGGAAGGTGAAAACCCCCCAGGGCCGCTGCCAATCTGCCCTGGAAGAAAATTCCTTCCCGACCCCAAATATGGCCATCGGCTAAACCCTGAGCATGTGGGCAAGACTCACCAGCCAGACACCCAGGAAAGAATTCTCTGTAGTAACTCAGATCCCACCCTATCTAGTGTCCCATCACAGGCCATTGGGCATATTTACCGCTAATGGTCAAAGATCAATTAATTGCCAAAATTAGGCCATCCCATCATACCATTCCCCTCCATAAACTTATCCAGCTTTGTCTTGAAGCCAGATATGTCTTTTGACCCCACTGCTCCCCTTGGAAGGCTGTTCCAGAACTTCACTCCTCTGATGGTTAGAAACCTTCGTCTAATTTCAAGTCTAAACTTCCTAATGTCCAGTTTATATCCACTTGTTCTTGTGTCCACATTGGTACTGAGGTTAAATAATTCCTCTCCTTCCCTGGTATTTATCCCTCTGATGTATTTATATAGAGCAATCATATCTCCCCTCAGCCTTCTTTTGGTTGGGCTAAACAAGCCAAGCTCTTTGAGTCTCCTTTCATAAGACAGGTTTTCCATTCCTCAAATCATCCTAGTAGCCCTTCTCTGAACCTGTTCCAGTTTGAATTCATCCTTCTTAAACATGGGAGACCAGAACTGCCCACAATATTCCAGATGAGGTCTCACCAGTGCCTTGTATAATGGTACTAACACCTCCTTATCTCTACTGGAAAGACCTCGCCTGATGCATCCCAAGACCGCATTAGCTTTTTTCACAGCCGAAGAGTGACGGAGAAGATCCAGGGCCAGCTTCCCCCATCTGATCTAGAGGGCGCCGCCCTAGAGGAGCTCGATCTCAGTGGCCAACAAGGGGGGGCTGGTCTGGGGGTGACATGGAGGCCCAGCCCACTGGCAACTGGGTGGCAGTAAATGCCCCCACATGGCGAGGTGCTCTTGGCCACAGCTGACATGGGAGATGGGGCGGGATTCGAACCTGTGGCTTTGGAGCTCCAAACCCCAGTGCT